GGATGAAAGTGCTTTGTGTGACGTAGTACTAGTAGTGGCTTGCCCTCTAGATTTCTACTAGAACATAAAGAAGTAATACTACTAGTACTACATTGCCAAATGAGATACTACTACTACTAGTAGTAGTGCTTTGTGGTGGAAACAAGCCAAGAATACAGGAAATGCTGTTGCTTGTTGCTTTGTGCCCCTGAGATACTACTAGCTCTTTGTTGTGGAAACAAGAATACAGCAGGAATTGCCATCACTTCCTGCTAGCCCCTTAGATAGCTATTGGTGCTGTAAACAAGAAGAATACTGGAATCGCCATCGCCATCACTCTTGCTTGATTGGTCTTGAGATAGCTCTTGGCGGAAACAAGAAAATGACTGTTTCAAATGGTCTCCATCTACAACACCAGTGGTTACATTGAAAAGACTATGCTTTTTACTCTTGCCACTATCAAATGGCAACAACAAGCACTACTAGACTATCATGCTCATCTTGAACTTGAACTTACATCTAGTGACATTCCAGCTTGAAAAAAAAGGACAAGACTTTCATCGAGAGAAGTTTATTGCTTGTTGCTAGCCCCTTCTTAAAGCCATCCCTTTTGCTTGATTGCTCTTGAGATAGCTCCTCTTGGTGGAAAACAAGAATACTGGAATTGTCGTCGCTTTTGCTTGGTTGCTCTTGAGATACTACTAGCTCTTACTAATGGAAACAAGAATACTAAAATTGCTTCAAAGACGAGTGCTGGTACTAGAAATATCACAGGAACCATGAAACACGATCGAAACCAACCATGGGCTTGGGAGAACAAGCCCAAACCAATGGGCTTGCGAGAACAAGCCCAAACCAATGGGCTTGTGAGAACAACAAGAAGACCAAACCAGCCACAGGCTTCTTGCAAGAACAAGCCATGAGGATATAATACCACGAGCAGCTGCTGGAGAACCTGCTTGTGGAAGCAAGCAGTCTTTAATAAAAAGAATCATATGTTTGATCACAAAATCCAATCTAGTAAGTGATCTTAAATGAAAGAAAACAGCTGTTCAAAAATACCACAAGCAGCTGCTTCAAAGTATGCTGGTAGAAATATCACGGGACCCGAAAAATGTGATCTAAACCAACCATGGGCTTGCAAGAACAAGCTCAAACCAACAGTACTTCAAGTACATCAAATGTGTATTGGTTGAAAAAAATTGGCGCGGCTTGGCATGCTTTGCACAAGCCAAATATTTGTTAACAGAAATGATAATTTTTGAGAGTAGGCAGGGTTATCAGAATAGTAGTCATTCAATGCCAATTTGGCCCATCAGTGTGTGTGTGTGTGTGTGTGTGTGTGTGTGTGTGTGTGTGTGTGTATGTGTGTGTGTGTGTGTGTGTGTGTGTGTGTGTTGGAGATAAAAGTAAGCCAAGCCAATTTTGACACAAAGAAAGGGAGGAAAGTAACCAACAGCTGCAGGGAAGATACAAACACATGCCAATTACAGATAACGATAGTGCAGATGACAGGAATAGAAGTACTGAGGCTTTGGATGACACAGGAGTTATCAGTGTAAGTACTGCTGTGTCTGATGGTGGTGGGAGTCCCCAGGAGGTTGATGACAAAAGAATAGTTTAGCAATTGAAAAAGGAAAAGGAAGGCTCTAAAAGGGAAAATGATGTAGTAAAGGCAGAGAAAGATGAACAAATACCGGTGGGTTCCTTGAAGAGCAGTAAGTTGTTTGACCATATTGTCAATTCATAAGACACACAAGATAAAACTTCCCAAGAATGTTGAGCAACAGATATCTAGCAACCTAAAAAACTAGTATGCCAGGCAGAATATATTCAGAAACACAAAAATTTCAATTGAAGAAGACAATTACAATTACTTTGTATGCCTGCAGGCAGTACAGGAATAATCAGTGAGCAGAACCAAGGAGTTTCCAACAGATGAAGAGTTCGTCCAATACTTGGAGAAAAGCATTCTACTGAAGGTACTGAGAACATTGCAGCACAACACGCAAAGTTTGGCAAGGAAGAATGGATTTGGAAGTGAGCACAGACAATGCTATCAAACATGTTTGTCAAGTGTCATCAACTTAAAGACACTCTTTCTTGTCTTCCATTTTTTCTAACGGATTACAGGGGACAGGGGAAACAGTGRCATTGTCCCAAAGGCATTTCTGGGGCCAGTTGCTGGCATTGATTTGAATAATAGCATAAAAGGGAAAAAATTAAACAATGCAGACAATCTGGAGCTTTACTATTTTTTGACATGTATGTTGGCCTCTGTGAATGTGGGAGGGTAAACTCAAGATAAGCAACATGTTCACTGTCTCTGCAATGAATAAAATATGTGGGTGAAATTTAAAGAGAATAAAGTTGACCAAAATGTAAAGAAGAATTAGAAGAGATTTTGTGAAGCTGAGAGTGGAACAAAAGAGGGTTGGACGATAGAGGAGAGACTGTTGTTTTCAAGACTGTGTGAAGAAAGCAAGAAGGAGCCATGTCAAAACCCTGCAACTGGGTTGGAGTTGGAAGCCCTAATGCTAGAGTAAACACAAGATGAACTGGGTGGTGACTTTCTACCGCAAGCGCTGCTAGTAACCATTCAAACAATTCAACAGAAACCTTCCATTTCCAAGGCATTGCAACTACTGGGCCACTCTCCARATGATACTAATAATAACTGCAATCATTTGGCAATAAGTCCCACAATGGAGGAAGAGGTTTGATTATGCTGGCGATAATTAATTTAGAGAGATACAATATGCATGCTTATTATATATTTTCTAAAATGCAGTTTGAATAATTCATGCTTCCTTTTTCAAATTAAATATGAATCATAGTAAAAATATACAATGCTTAGTTTCAAAATGAGAAACAGAGGTTGGGACTCAACAAMAAATGTAAGTTGGTGGGAGCCCTTATGACTGGATTTCATACTGAAAAAATAATTAATTCAAGCAAAAAGTAGATTCAGAGAGGGCAGGGGTTGCAACATGCAGACAAGAAAATAAATTGTGTGCCACCATAAAAATTGGGTCGCATTGGGGAATGCAACAGGGTTTCAATGACGGTTTTGCCTTGGGTTGTGATTACTTTTTGGGACAAATCAGTGCACTTCCTTCTTCTTGCTTGTGTCAGTTTGTGACACCATTACCACAAAACATCAAAAGGCACAAGATAGTAGTATTCAAATAGTAGTAAACAAGAAAGTCAATAGAACAAAAAAGAACCATTCAAATTAACCAAAAATTGAGCTTGGGACATTAKGGAACAAGGAAGTAGTAGATATCTACTCATGAGTTATGTTTTGCGACTACCAGTTAATTGGTAATAAAATGTGTTAACCATAAGAATCCTACCGCGCTCTACTTGAAAAAAAGTAATTTTACTCCAAGGGATTTACCCAAAAATTATTACTAGTAAGAATCACGTTTAATTTTGTTAATTTTGAAGCCCAGTATTTAGTACTGATCCTACATAGATCTACTAGTATTTGGTCACTTTTTCCACCAACACAACAGCTCCGGAAAGGCCTTTAATGAGATCACCTTTGGGGATATGCTTGGTCATACTAGTGTTAAGACGAAGAGTGCTCCTGTGTGCCATTGTTACATGATTAGGGACCAGGGGAGAGTCTGTTCTCCATTAACAGCTGGTATGGCCAAATTTGGCCAGTGGAGACCGGCTACTGGTTAGAAGATAGGCCAGAACTCTATCAAAAAACAACAAGCACCCAGACCAACAAGTTGATACAATTACTTAAAGATCCAGGTCATTGGGACTCCAAAGGATGCTCTAGCTGCTTAGTACTAGTCAGCCAAAGTTACAGTAGTGATGTGGCCCAAAATCGTTAATTCTGGTAGGTGTAATTTTATTACCGATTAACTGGTACCTACATTTTGCAACCCATTCCTCAATGCTAGCAAGTTGGTACAGACCCCTGGTAGCAAATTCTACATAAATTCCCTTTAGGCTAGTACGCTTTTCAGCACCACTCCATATACAAGAGTACTAAAATCTCCACCTATTTTGCAGTGCAGAAACAATTGTATGATTCTAAATATAACCACCACTAGATGGTCTATTTTCCGTCTGTCTGTCTTCCAAAAAGTAGACCGTCTAGACTAACGGGAATGACCCAATTCTAGGTGTAATTTTATTACCGATTAACTGGTACTTGTACTAGTACTAGATTACTAGTACAGTAAGAAGTAGAATGGGTTTCTTCTGGTTGTCAATATCAATAACGGTTATATTTTAGCTATCCCGCATACAAAAAGATTACCGTTATATGAACGGATACATGTTCAAATCACACTCGCGGTGCGAATAGATTATGCGGCCCCTTCGGTCCCTCTCCGGGAATCAATTGTTACTGAATTCGTATTAACATTCTGTAGGTTAATACTAAAATTCGTAGTATCGTCAGATCACATGTGCGCGCACCTCTATAATGCCCCCGGTAGGTGCGCCGTAAATGGCTTTAATTTAACAAAATTGAAACGTTACCGTCTCACAGAAAGGAGTTCTTTTCGTCTCTTTCCTTCACCGAAGTGTTGCCGCAAGGAACGATGAAAGCCAATGAAGGAATAAGTTGATTCTCTATTCATTACCTGGAGCCGAGATAAGCGGATAGCACGGTTGAAAACGAATAAAATCACGAAACGATCCGAACTACCGTACTGCAAAAGTGCTTTACAATCCCACATCATATAGTACCACTCAACGCAACGACCACAGTAATTCTCTGAAATGCGGCTTCTGCGAAATACTGCCTTTGCCTCACGTCATCCAAATTGTGTTGCTTCCATAAGATTTCTTCTTTTCTTGAACCTGGTTTTCCTTGCTCTGAACACGAACCGAACCCTGGTCTCGATTATCGACGTAACAAGTTTTGTTGAGATCAACGATGAACCGCAGTACCGTAGAAGAACAACAGAAACAACGGGATCAACAATCGAGGACGAGAGCCAACAACAACAGCAAATACTACCGGGGTGTCCCTCTGTCATAAGAAAAAAGGCGGGGCTCTTCGACCAGAATACTAGCGAGAGCCTGCTCAGGGGCGATTTTGCCGACACGGTACTCCTGGTGAGCTCGAACTATGCATACTACAACATGTTGCAGAACTGGGAATACATGGCCAGTCAGCTCCATCTCCAGTGGGCGGTGCTGGCGCTGGACAATGAGCTGTACGAGGAGCTTGGGCCGTCCAGAGCCATCCCCGCCAAGGAGGAGTTCACGGTGTCAGGGCCGCAAGAATTTAGAAAGGGAAGCTTTCAAGGGCTCACCTGCAACAAAGTCCGCATGGCCCTCGAAGTTGCCAGCGCGTGCAAGATGAATGTGGTCTTCACCGATGTCGACAACGTCTTCTTCCAGAACCCCTTCGAGCACGACCTCGGGCGGCTGATCCGATCGCAGCGGTACGATTACGTGTACCAACCGAACCAACCGGCGTGGGCTCCCCTCGAGGATCAGTGTCTGAAGGGAAATCCACGTAAGGAAGCCAACACCGGCTTTTATTACTTCAACCACAAAAGTGAAATCTACAGGAACATTGCGGAATCGATGCTCGAGGTGTGCGTGAGACCTGAAAACAAGATCGACGACCAGAGCCTGTTCTGGAAGGAATTCTGGAAAGCCGAAAAACGCATCACGAGCAGGAACCAAACCGAAGGTAGCGACGCTTCCTTCCACCACTGCGATCTCTCTGAATACGTAAACCCTTGGTCACAACAAAACAATTTTTCGAAAACAAGCGGTAGTAACAAACGGATCTTCCAGTATTGCTGTTTGGATCCATACTTCTACCCAATTGGGAAGCACAATGCAAGGGACGGGCCTTCGAATAAGAACCCGGTAACGTACCATGCCAATTACGCCTCTAAGTACGGTAGAAAGGTAGAGAAACTCGTACACGCACGGTCGGATGGATACGGCTGGGACATGTCGAGGTTCAAGGACGGCCACGGGGGGGTTTTGGAGGCCCCCAAAAAAGGCCAGGATAAGAAAAAATGATAACAGAAAACGAAGGGAGATTGACGCTCACGAGGAACACCGAGATTACGTTATTGGATCGACGTAGAAGTCTGTCATAATAGAGAATCAAAGCAATCACCAATCGTAGATAGCACGAATGAAGATACAACTCAGCCCACTACGAGGCACACTTAGTCTCATTCTGTAGCATCGGAATTGCGCCAATATCATCTCGTACCATAATATTGAAAGCTGGCTTCCGCACTGCAGTCTCTAATCGGGGGGGGGGGGTGGGGTTGCATCCCAAGCCATTTGCTACACTACTAGCTGAACGGTAGGTGCCATTAATCTACGTACCGGCGTGTGGTGCAGATCTCTGTATTCAAGTTATTTGCGTTATTTGCGGAGACGATTTGCGATCTCTGCATTCAAGTTATTTGCAAAAAAAGCAACAATCAACCATTTTATGAGGTAATGATGCGGAGGAGTACACTGATCGGAGTTGCTGATAAGGAGGTGTACGCAGACACTGATACAGAGTGCACGGTGACTTGCTGCTACGAGTCGCTGATACGAGGATGCTGATACGATGATTCGCCGATACGATGATCCGATGATACGAGGAGCCGCTGATACGATCATCCGCTGATACAAGGAGCCGCTGATACGATCATCCGCTGATCCGCTGATACGAGGAGCCGCTGATACGGACGAGCCGCTAATATGAGCCGCTGATACGAGGATGCTGATACGACGAGGATGCTGATACGACGAGGATGCTGATACGAGTTGCTGTTACTACGGAGTAAGCTGATACTACAGATTACGGATGATGATGATGCTCAGTTTTAAACTGCTCAGTTTTGAAATTATGAAATTCGAATTCTAAAAAAAATCAGGCAAAGCAATGGGTGAAATGGGTTCAGTTCCTGAATAAATCCTGGCGCGGCCCTCAGCMATTCTCCGCGCCAGAATTTTTTCAGAAGTCATTTTTAACTGTTGTTATTTCACTGACGGTTAAAATAACGGTATTTACCTGTAAAAATGAGCTAAATTTTTCTAGTAGCATTTGCACGGGAATTGCCAATAACTTGCCAGTACGGGACTTGCCATTAATAGCTCTAGTACCAGGTACTTGTTGCATATCAATTGAAATCACGTTTCACAGGGCATATCAAATGTCATTCCGAGTGTTAGCAGGCAAGGCGTCCATCCTTCTTCCTCCTACTCATTGTTTTGGGATCCTTGCGCGCTCTACGCTACCGGCCGGTACGGTACGGGCACCAAATTAACTAGGGGAGATACTAGGATCTATCTACCTACGCCTACAGGTGCGATGATATTGAACCAACAATCCAAACGTTAATTCTAACATTCGGAATGAACCGTGAAAAGGTAATTTCAATTGATCCGCAACGCGTAGTAGTGAAAACAAAAACGAAGCCGTCAAACTAACATCAATTGCCCGCATCATTTCATCGTTTCAATTTCAGGAGGTACAGTTTCTGTCATCGAAGCAAAACGATTGTGCTTATTTTCATTCTGTTGGCAATACGAAACGGGGTTGCTCTCGGGTTATCATTGCGATTTTCTTTTGCAAGAAAGTTCATCTCGGTGCCTCAAAATAAGAAGAGAGCAACTGCAAGGGCAATTGAAACGGGAGCGGCGGCGGCGACTACGACGGCAGCACCAACTACTACAACAGAAGCAACAAGAACAATGGTGCTCTTTTTCTGCTCTGCGAAGCGATCAAAAAATCTCTCGTTGCTGTTAGGAGCACAGCTTTGCTGGATTGTGCTTCTTGACCCGTTGCGTTGTTGGGGCGCATCACCCCAACAACTACCGACGAATCACGAACAAGATCCAATGAATCTCTGGGAGAAGAATCTTTATCAATCAGTGGTGAGAGGGGAGAGGGCAACACCCAACACAGTAACGGATCAGAAGCCGAATCCATCCTATCCTTTCCAGTCTCTGCGACGAAGAAACGAACCAAAAGAACAAGCAATTGTAATGGGAGATGACGACGACGACGATCAGTTTCTCAACGACGACGACGCAGTAGTCAGCGATTGCTCTTTGTGCCAGGGATTGCCTATGGAAGAAAATTTTGTTCCTTTCGGGGACAACTCGACCTGTTCCGAGCTTGAAGAGTTTTATTATTCTGACTATAAGAATACGGTTCCTGGCGAATCTTGCATCAATGATGTTGTTGTAAACATGGCATTCGATAGGTGTTGCAGGCAATCAATCCCGAAATACGAATGCGAGACCAATATCCAGGAGCGATTGTTCGGCAGCGAAAGCAACTACAACACTGCCGTCCCTCCCGTGATCAGCATGAAAGAACCACTCACAGTCCTCGTAAGTATGGTTTACTTTTTCTTGCAGGACATCGACACGGCGGAAAACACGGCAAAAATATCCTTGCAAGTCTCTTTCACTTGGGTCGATCCACGGTTGAAGTGGGACATTGTGGACAACGATACCTGTAGCAATAAAATCGATGTCTTCTCTGGGCATGAGATAGAGCAAACCATGATATGGGTACGTGCATCCTGTTTGGGCTCAGTGCTGACGCCGTTTCTCCGAATTTTTGTTTTCGAAGCGCAAAATATGCGTCGATGAATAGTCGCTTCCTCCCCACATGTATGAAAATTCTCTAGTCTCCCATCTAATCATATCTCATCGCTGTTGCTTTTGGTCAAAAACAATTGCATCCAACCTGCAATTTTTTGGCTTACTAGATACCGGATTATGACTTATTGAATGGGATTGAGGGCATCCGATCCATGCCAACTCGGAAGGTACAAGTCACAAGCAGCGGGCGTGTCCAAATGGATATGTTCGGTGGAATTGAAGCCTTTTGTCCCATGTCCGGGCTGGCAAACATACCCTTCGATACTCTTGGGTGCCAGTTTGTCTTTTGGCCAAGAGAACAATACAATGCATTGATCAAGTACGAGCTGCAATATCCAGAACAGATGTGGTTTGCACCTTATGATGGTGAGTTCCAGTAGGCAAAGCACGAATTTGTACGGTACGACAGCAACCGTTTGAGATAACAATATGTTTTCTCTCCTTTGTTGATGAGTGCGTCTGTGAGTTCGTTACGTGTTTATAAAAACTCCAACACTACTAAAGCAAGCAATTGATTTCTTTTGAATTCGGTGTGTTTTTCTAAATTACCATCATCACATAATGATGGCGACAACATAAAGGAATCTACAAAGAATGGCAACTCGTACCGGATCGGACAGAACAGAAAATTGATCCTGCGTCTGGTCATGTGATCGTCAACTTTTATTTCAAACGGGCAAAACAATATTACATCTGGAATATCCTGGTGCGTACTTATTTTAACACGGTGCTGGATTTGAGTTGTTACGTGAGGGATAGATGCAGGCGTTCTCTGATACGTTTCCGCAACGATATTACACGTATTTCTGATTTTGACTATTCATTTCTTCATCTTTTGTGTGGTACGATAAACTTGCATTGCATTTTTTTAGGTACCTACCATCATCTTGACATACCTGAGTTTCTTCACTTTCCTTTTGGATATGCGAGTTGGGTACGTCTAATACGAAAACTAAAATTAATTTGACGCTGTTCTTCTAACTTCATTTTGTTGCCACCGGTCGTGCCGTTTTACTTTAAAATTCCGTTACATCTTCCCATAGGGAACGCCTGGGATTTGGAACGGCCCTAGCCTTGGTCGTTGTAGCTCAACAAATCGTTACAAGCGATAAGCTTCCAGTTTCTGACCAACCACTGTGGCTAGATAAATTCGTGGGAAGGTCATTCTATTGGGTCCTCGTCCCTGTTGTTCAATCTGCTTTAGTCGGTTTTTTGTATTTTCTGCGCGAGGATCGCCAGGCGACAAAAGAAAACAAGAACCTGGAATTGATGTCGATGAGTGCCCGCTTGAGCATGATGAGACGAGCCGCATCCAAAAGAAACGAAAAGGCATACACCGAAGATGAAGCAACAGGAGAAGAGCAAGAGGCACTCGTGGATCCAACCTTGCAGCTTACCGACGCAGTTTCAACTATGCAGAAAGAAAATTTTCTGTATACCTTTAGTTTTCGAAAATTCGATATGATATGTCTTGCCCTTGCGGCTACTACCTATTCGGCATTTATTGTAATAATGTACACTGAAGTCCATGGTGGATTTTGGGTGACCAACGAACCTCCCAAGGTAGGTCGTAATGGAACTTTTGATTTGGGTGTTGTCGTATATAACACCAGTGACCCGACCAGCTAAGGAAAAGAGTTGATGATATCAATTGAGACGCATTTCACTGAACGAACGACTGGGTCAATAGTTTCATGATTCAATAAATATTGTATCGGTTTTTCTTTGATTCCTACGGAGTGCACCGGTGTCTTCATAAGAAGAAGATTGGCATTCTTTGATGACGCATAAAATAAAATACTGAAACAACTAGCATCAACGAGAAACAAAGTAAAGATTAACAACTAGGCGCTATATTTTCGAGGACACAGCTTTCACTCAATCAAGGGACTCTCTGTTGGAAATGCGAGCACGACGAGGGATAAATATTTCCGTGTCCGTCCATCGACAACAATTTATGATTTGACACCCTGGTGTCATGATGCATGATGTGTGAACCACAAAATTATTTGAAGGTATAATCCATAGAATAATCGGGAATTGATGGGTAATCAACTACCCTCATTCTTTTCTTTTATCTAGTCAACAGGGTTATTACTTCTACTCTTTGAGGCTTCATAGGCCAGTCGATCAATCTGATCTAACGCTATTGAATTAACGCTCTCGTCTAGCTTAGTTCATTTCAGTAAAACGAATGGAAGGATTTTGACTATCTTCTCGTGATTTAGGCTCACACCCATTCGAAGAAATGAAACAGAAACCTGGTGGAGGAAGATTATAGCTGCGGCACCTCTCATTGTTCTGGTGCAAAGTACCTGGTACGTACTGACCGTACGTACGGTACGGAAGTTACTCGTACTCGATTTTTTAGGATACGCGTACACTAAAAACAAAAAATCATTCCTGCATACGTACCGTACGGTACGACTTTGGACTCTATGAACCTTACCGTTCCGGAGAGACGCACCTGCACAGATGTTGTTGTACGAGTCGTACTCGTACGTACCGTACATACTGTACTTTGTATGTGAAGACAAGATGTGAAAAAACAATTCTGTACCTGCCGGTGCGTAAGGAGGCATGTATGAATCGTGTTCGCTACTCGTATTCACTACTGTACCGTAGTAGCTATTCGGGACTGGAGATTCCAGAATCCTTACGGCCACGTGGTGGAGGTTCTACCGCCCGGTACGATGAAGAACTCTTCCTACGGTACCGGTAGGAATTAGAGTAATCTTCAGGAGAAGAAGATTCATCTTCTTCAATCTCAAAAAATAAAAACAATCACAATCACATGTCTCCCAAAAAACAAATGAGGCCATGATGACCTGCAGCCAGCATTGAACAAGGACAGCCAACGTCGTCCTACGGTAGTACGAGTACCTGTATGAAAACAGATCTCTATCGTTGTCTCCAACACGACACAGATCCCATCCCATCTACACCTGCACCATTTGAAGCAAGGAAGTCGATACCACGATCGTTGCCTTTCTCGAAGTTGCAACGTTCAGTTGTTTGAAATACATTACGTAGGTCTACTCGCACTCGCGATAATACGTTACTGCAAGCCAGCAGAGAAACATACCAAAGCAAACCATGGGAGATGTCCTGAACGATGTCAAGAAACACGTGACGAAACCCATAAAGAAATTCGTCGATTCGAAGCAAAAGAAGCTGCGGAAGAAGGCCGTGAAACTGCTCGATGCAAACGATTCCGACTCCTCGGAGGAGTCGGGGGGGAGGCAGAAGCACAGACGGGCGCTAGCTCAGGCAGCACATGCCCACCAAAGCGCAACGACGGCACAGGGGGGTTACGTACTGGAGTCAATCCGCCACTGGGACGTGTCGTTGCCGCCGGTCCGGAAAAACTACAAGATGGGCGGTAAAAAGATTCCGGGAGTCAAGTTTGGGAAACTGTTCAAGCACAAACGACGGGTCACCATAGAATTGTACAAGAAAGCGACGGCGCAGGAAAAAGCCCACTACGCGGAACACAAACGTCGGGTCTTTCAAAAACTGTACGCCAAGGCGTCCATTACGAACCTTTCCATCCAAGAGGAAAACGAGCTCCCCGCCCTGGGCGACGAAGATTTCATTATTTTTCGCATACTCAAAGCAGCGAAACGAAAGGGGGAGAGAGATTTTTTTGACGTTGATGACGACGACGATTCCACGATCCATTCCCTGCCAAATGGTGATCTCGATGCACATTCTCTGACCACCTACAATCTCACCGACTATGGCGATGGGCAGGGTACTGATCATGGCGACAACCAGATCGTCTTCCGCTGGAAGGAGCGATATCGCACTCGGCTGGAGTCAATGGAAATCATAGAAGTTTTGAAGGAACATAAAATGATCCAGCTGGAGTGCAGCGGAGTCCTTCGCGATGTTTGCTTCGACAATCCGCACGAGGTCGAGACTTTCCTGAGGGTCTTTGAAAAAATGAGAGAACTCCAGCACGAACGCGGGGCCAGAATGATGGCCGAGCACAACAAGGAAGAATCTGGTTTTCGACAAAGGCTTTCGCAAACTTCCTTTCTAACAAATATACCCGAGAACGAAGAATCGATAGCAGAAGAGAACAACACCGGTGGCCTGGTTTCGAGTTTGGTTGGGAAAAAGAAGGACGAAGCCCTTCCGAAATACGTCAACCTGCTGGTGGAAATTGTTTCGGCTACGAATTTGCCCATTGCAGGTACGACTGATTAGTGCGACGCAACCTTGTGCTTGGTTTTGGTGTCGTTTGTCTCAAAACTTCTTTCCGTGGTCACCGCGCTCTTCATCCTCTTGCCGTGTATTTGCGCGTGCATTTTTTTTGTATTTCTCAGATGTAATTTCGAGCGATCCYTACGTGGTTGTCGAGGATGGCCGGAAGGAATGGCACCGAACGAGTGTCATATCAAAAACGCTCAATCCGGTGTGGACCTTATCGACCGGATCGCTCTTTTTGATCGAAACCACGCTGGTCGAATTTTTCGAAAGCGCGCGACACGTTGAGTTCATAGTCAAGGACTACGATAGTGTTGGCGAAAATGACGTTCTCGGATCTGTTTTGGTCAACAAGAAAGAAATGTTGCGATCGACGGGTGAGCGCTTGGAATACCCATTGGGAACATTCCAGTCAGAAGGGAAAGAGGTATGAGTTTTAATTGTGTTTTGATTGTTGGATCGATGAAACCAGAATTCCGATGAGGATCCTCACACCTTCGTTTTGTTTTTATGCACCGTGTCATACATCACGGTACACTAACCGCAAATCGAATGAAACAATTCAAAACCCAGTCTTCCATAGCACTCCGATTTAGGTCAGCGACCTCAAACGACATTCGATTTATGCGCAAAATGGAAGCAAAAAAGAATAGTGGGATCTTTCGATACCTTGGTCTTTCCTCCAGTTTACCCACCGGGGTATACATCGAAGATTGTTATCTCCCGCCTCGCTCTCACCGTGCCAACCTCATGAAAAGACAAAGCCGCGAAGCCGAAGATGGCGTGACAATTCAATACCGTTTGAAACCTTTTGCGGATCCCTCTCGCCCAGTAGCGGCAACAAAATGGTTAACGAAAAGAGAAATTGATCAAGAGTCGAAACTACCATCGAAAGAATGGATCGAAGCAGGCTCTGGCAAGGTAGGAAAATTTTATATAGAAGTTCTAGGATGCGATGGCCTTCCAAATACAGACTTCAGTGTCACCGGACGGAATAAGAGCGACCCTTTTGTTTGCATCACCTTTGAAGATTGTATAGTGAATACCGACGTTATCAACGATTGTCTTTCTCCACGGTGGATGCCATGGACACAAAGAGCATTTGTATGCAATGTTATGCATCCAAGCTCCCAATTTTATTTAGCTGTGATGGATTACGACGAGCATGTACCGGGAACCCGCACGTTCGATAAACTGGGACGCTGCATTATAAATCCTACCAACGCCAGACCAAACACGGTGTACACTATACGGATGAGCCTATTCAGCTCTGACGATCACGATCGAAAAATGACTGGCAAGATCACGCTTCGATTCCGATACGAAAGCTGCAACGAGCGACAGTTTCTTTTGGCGGCGTTTCAGTTTAAAAACCACTACGATGTATCAACGGACAAAAAGGCGGACTTTATATCAGCGAGATACGCGGTAACGAATGATGTAAGTATGCTTTGGCATCACGCACATACCAGCAAAGTACCTTCGGTGGAAAATATCGTCTAATGCTTCTTTGGCCACGCCTTTCATATTTCTGTTCAAAACTTCGAACCAATGCAGTACGATTACAACTCGTTGAGTCTAGATACCATACAGAAATATGTTGACGAGTTGTTTGAATACACAGAGATTCTTGATGACATTGTTGATGCAATGAAAACCGTCATCCTTTGGCGGGGCCACTTTTCGTTCAAATTTTCGTTCTGTAGGAAAGAACACACCATCAAATTTCCGTTTCACTCGATGATAGCGTTCGGATGGGGAGTCCTGCTCTCAAATGACTTTGATAGATTCTTCAGTTTCATTGGATTTTTGTGTACATGGGTTCTATTTGCAAGCCTTGAAAGTAGAAGGGACAACCCAAATCCATGGAAAAGGCCTCGCACGTACATTGAGATGCTTGGCATCTTGCTGTTCAACAAATCCTATGCGAGACACTGCATCCGTGAGTACGAGAACATTGAACCAATCATGGAATACGACGAGCGTCGTGAAGAACTGTTGAAATTTCGAAAAGACGCCATCGAAACCATGCGCATCCGTAATGAAAGCGACGCGAAACATCTTGAGAAGGAGGACAGAGAGTTGGACAAGCAGGCTCACGATCCAAGTGCCACGATGACCATTGGTGTCAACCAACTTATTCTATCCCCTTTCAAGGATATCTTGATGCCTACGCAATCATTTTTGTACAAGTCGGTGGTGTTTGCTCGTATAATCAAGAGTATTGTTTTGTGGTACGATAGTGTTTCCTCCTTTTGGATAGCTACAGCGGGATTGATGTTTTGCGCAGTTACGTTTTACATCCCCTGGTCGTTTTTGTTTCATTGGGCTTTCACAATATTGGTTTGGACATTCCTAGGTCCATGGATGAAGCTGGTAGATATTTTCTTCGTCACAAACGTCAACAACATGTCATACAACGAACGAAAGGCACTGGTCGAAGAAGACTACAAAAAGAGATACGATTACATAATGGGCGAGTCCAAGATCAGGCGGATGCGGAAGGAACGCCGGATGAAACTGCGCGATATGGAAAAGTATATGTTCGGACAGTACATATCGCGGGTTCCCATCTTCAAAGAGGAGCGCTTCGGCTCGGTACCGCTGGCCGGTGGTTCCGCCGTCCCCTACGATCCCGCAACCTCGCCCCCGGTGAACATCGTTCGCCGCATCAACGGCCAGGTTTTGACCGGGACCATGGTCCCGAGACGAGACAACCAGGCGAAGATTTTCAAAAGCAAAAAGATTTTTGAGTCGCTCCAGCTGGATGTTCCCGTTGTTGTCGGCACTACCGATCCGCCGACGACTAGCCCCTACGGCGACGAAACTCTGCCCCTTTTATTTGACAAAACCGGCGAGGTAACCAGCGGCGGTTCCCAGGACGCACCTGGCAATGCTGCGGGAGCGTATGGTACCATGAAAGGCCGCGACAAAGTCGGGGACGAGGGACAAGAAAACGATCTGCAGCTGGTAAAGGAGCTCGCTTTTGAATCGATGGTTTGATTGGTTGCCGGAACAAGTTTGAATGTATGTCATTAGGATGTTGTGTGTTTGTTTGTTTGTTCCATGCGGGCATGGATGTAAGCTATAGTTTTCTCTGTAAACCTCCCAATGCTATCGACAACTTTAGAAAGCAACTAGTTTTATGTGCTGCCAGAATGTCAACAAAAAAAACTCTAATTTTCTCGTTTTGCGAGTGCGTGATGCTATTTATCCTGTCAAAAGCTATCGAAATGCTGTCGAGAGCTTGAGCACGCCATTCACGACAAGCGTCCGAAAGCCCTCTACGGAACAACAGCGGATTTTCGAATCGCACTTACCCGAAGCGCAATCGAAACGGTTGGCATGCGGAGCCTCCCGGAGCACGCTGGCCATCCGTCCATCTGCTGGCAGGACACCAGCAGACCGCGGCACCGGCAGGCCGGCCGTCTAGTGTTCGGGCAGGTCCTCCTTCTCGTGGGTGGGCGGGCCCGCAAACAGGCCCTCCCTCCCGATTCCGTAGGCGTCGCCGTACTTGTCGCAGACGTAGTCCAGGTCCTTGTCGCCCCGGCCGCTCATGTTGACCAGGATGGTGGTTTCCGGCGGCAGGGTCGGTGCCAGTCGGATCGCGTAGGCCAGGCCGTGGGCCGATTCGAGGGCCGGTACGATCCCCTCGGACCGGCTGAGCCGGAAAAAGGCATCGACGACCTCCCTATCGGTGGCGGTTTCGTAGGCAACCCTTCCCGAGTCCTTGAAGAACGAGTGCTGCGGGCCGACCCCGGGGTAGTCCAGGCCGGAGGCGCAGGAGTGGACCGCTGCGGGCTCCCCCGTCGCCTCGCTGAGGAGGGTGTAGCACCTCATCCCGTGGAGGACCGCCGGTTTGCCGAGGGTCAGCGTCGCGGAGTGGTGTCCCTCCCCGGCGTCGAGGCCCCTCCCGGCCGGCTCCACCCCGACCAGGTTCACTCCCTCTTCCTCGAGAAAGGCCGTGAAGAGGCCCAGGGAGTTGCACCCGCCTCCGACACAGGCCACCAGGTAGTCCGGCGTCGCCTTGTTTTCGCCGTCGGTCGAGCCGCCCCCCCGGTCCGCAAACTGCCGCTTGGCCTCATAGCCCACCACGGCCTGAAAGTCCCGGACCATCATCGGGAAGGGGTGGGGCCCCACCGTGCTGCCGATGCAGAAGAGCATCTCGTCCGGGTTGGCCATGTAGGCCCCAAAGGCCGAGTCAACGGCCTCCTTGAGGGACCTGCCCCCGTGGGTGGCCGGGACGACCTCCGCCCCCAGGACCTGCATGCGCCTCACGTTGGGCCACTCCTTCTTGATGTCGATCTCCCCCATGTGGATCTCGCAGGCCAGTCCCACCAGCGCCGCGCAGGTGGCCAGGGCCACCCCGTGCTGGCCGGCCCCCGTTTCGGCGATGAGCTTTTTCTTGCCCATCCTCTTGGCCAGGAGGGCCTCCCCGAGGCAGTGGTTGATCTTGTGGGAGCCGGTGTGGTTGAGGTCCTCCCGCTTGAGGTAGATCCTTGCCCCCCCGAGCTCGCGGGAGAGGTTGGAACAGAAAAAGACCGGGGAGGGCCGGCCCACAAAGTCGCGGCGGAGCTCCGCCAGCTCAGAGAGGAARGAGGGATCCTCCCGGATGCTCCGGTAGGAAGCGTCGACRGCCTCCATGATGGGGACCAGCGGTGGCGGGAGAAAGGCCCCCCCGTAGGCCTTGTCGGGCCCGAAAAACCCGTCGGGGTGGGGGAGGGATGTCCCCAGGGCCTCCGAGTTGTGCAGGTGTGTCTCCTCGCAGCCTGCGGGGGGCGATGGTGGCGGTTCTTGTTCTTGCGGAGAAGGGACCATGGTGCTGTTGGCTTGCTGGTCTTGCTTTGTGTTGTTGCTGGTGTYGTTGATGATGATGTCTGTGGTGGGGACAGAACATCGATAATGATAACCGATGAATGCGAGTGGCGAAGACGACTTTCGTAAATGACCTTGGAATGTCCACTTGCCGGCTTGGTACTCGACAAGTACCGGCAGGTACCAAACGTATTCACCGTTCGGTACTCGTATGCTGTGCTCTGCGATCTTGACCGGTGCATTCTGTACTTTTTTCTAGTATTCTCGAATTCACGCGATCTTTTTTCACGATCTTTTTCGAGGGAATGAAGAAAACAAGATTTTTCGGCGTCGCGAAAAGTGTCAAAAACAAAGACAGAAGGGAATAGAATAGATAGTACATATGATAAGTATGTACGTACCATAGGACTACCCGTTCGTTGCAGGTTGCAGCCCGTTTTATTTTCGTGATTTGCAGGTCCATCTGTACGCTACGAATACTTGTTTTGGGGGACGTTAATAGCAAAAACCAAGTCAAATCGCCCGAAACCATCGCATCCTTTCCGGTACGGTAGTAWTSCTACCTACCGGAACATACCTTTACGAGTTACATCCGTCGTTGACGCGCGAAAACCGCGCCGTACAGGTAAATATCTTTTGGATATCGTAATCGTAAACTCCTAAATGTAC